TACTCGGGAGCTCATATCTGGGTTTCTCCTTCTCCCTGTTCTCCTGACAACTGGTGGGGAGCAGGCTTTGGGATGAGGAAGTGGTTCCCAACCAAAAAAAAATTCTTTGTGATTTGGACTCACGATTCGGTCGATTCATAGGCCAATCTATGCCCCCTGGCTACACATTTTCCTCTCTTGCCCTGTATAATTGCACACTAAAAGTCACCGTACGACAAAATATGGAAGGTGTGTTGGGTGTTAGGGGTTGGCCGGGAGCCACAGGAAACTCCAGAGTCCCGACCAAGCCCTTCCTTCCCCTTAGATCCAGCGGTCGGTGCTGAACCGCCAGGCCCGGGCGGTGCTGGTGATCGCTCACCGGATGCAGACGGTGGAGAACGCCCACAAGATCGTGGTGCTGGAAGGCGGAGAGGTTGTCGAGGAGGGGAGCCACCCCGAGCTGATGGGACGGAGGGGGACCTACTACCGGCTGGTGCAGAGGAGCGGCGCGGAGTGACTTCTGGAAGGTGTGAAGAACCTCGTCTTGAATGTGGAATACCAAATACGTGGGACTTTTTAGGTTGTTTGTTTTGTTGTGTTGCACTTTGGAGTGCAGTCTGGCCAACGAGACCTGCTCTCTGGCCCGTCTTATGGACTGGCACCGTGAGCAGCATGAACGTGACGGAGGCTAAGGAATACCGGTGGCCAGTTTGTGCAACTTGGGGGGGGGAGTGTCTGGGAGGCTGAATTAGAAATGCCCTTTTTTGCCCTTGAGTAGAAACTAAAGGAAGAAGAGTTGCCTGATTTCTTTCTTTGCCCCCACCCCATCTTTATTTTATATAGGTAGTAATTACAGGACAATAATAAATTTTCTATTGAACACTGACTTTTACAGCTTGTTCTAGGAAAAAGAACATAAGAAAGTAACAAGCAATATGTTCCCTTCTCAATATAAGAAAAAGATTTTAATGAAGTTACTGCAAGGAATAAACTAGGAATTAATCGTGTAATTCGCATTTTTATCATCTGTGTAATAAATGGAAGAAAACTAGGGCAAATCAAATTGCTTTCGGTTTCATGTTCTCTTGCCTGATGGATGTCTTGAATCGATACTTCTGACAGAGCAATGTCCCAAACCCCGGCTAAACCAGCCATTCATGGTCTGGGAAACATCTGCCCAGCTACAACCTGCAAGAAGGTTATAGGGTCATAATAGCACATTTTAATTGCCATTTTCAAATACTGTATATTAACTAGTACCAGCCATGCACTAGGGCTGATTTGTTGGCCTGTAATACTGGAGATTTCTTCTGATCCATGTCTGATTTGTGGACATCACCACCAAAAATGTTTTAAAAAATCGCACTTCTCCATATCCCCTCCAGTGCAGTTTAGTGGATTCCTTGGTAATACGTGTCAATTTAAGAGGGCTTAGGAAACAGCTGTAAATTATTTTAAGAGATAGTCTCCTTAATGTTTATTGAAATAATTTGAATGTGGCTTTTGTGTGTGTCCATAACTTTGTCTATGTTTCATGATAGAGATTCTACAACCGAGATCATTGCCCATGCACCTTTTAAGCCTAATATACTGAGTAGCTTTCTAAATCCAGTAATATTTTATAGATCAGTAACATCGTTCCTTTTGAATTTGGATTGGAACTGGAAATGAGCTGTTCAAAGGGAGTTAATGGTCTTGTGGAATGCCGTTTAACATCTTGAACATCAAACAAAGACTCTGGAGGAGTGGAAACCAGAGACTGAGATAATTAGCACCTCTTTCTCTAATTTGGCTACCAGGGATTTATGTTCCATTTGGGAAGAAATCACCTGGTGTGTAAAGATACACCATTTTCCACTGAGAGGATTATTTGTTCAAGTTTTATTTGTAACCTTGCATGCTGTCTGTAGTTTGGAACTGAACCGGAAAGGACTTTACTGGGCTGCGGTGATTGTCTGTCTCTCCAGCAATAACTAATTGTT